TATGTGCTGCATTAATTATGAAGTTATTTAATATGCGACATAAATATCTTGCGACAATTTTTGCCGATTTAGCATAAAATGAGTATTTCAAAACTGATTGTATCATTTACTCTATTATGTCAACCATGATCGTTTAAAAATTATCTCAGTTTTAATCTCACGTTCTTTAGACTTGATTTATTGTGAGTATATTGCACATCTTTTTGCCGGTTAATTCCAATTCTCATTTCTATAGTCTGAATATTTTGTAGATTATAAATATCTGCAGAATTTGTCTGTTACTTTTTCTTGAATATTACACTATCTTTATACATTTAATTTTTCAATACTTATCTTATATGCTTGTCGGTAACTTAAGATTATTTAATTTATCTATCACTTCGTCGCTGTACGTGGCTTCAAGCTTTTAGAGCCAAAACGTATGATTTACAATTTGTATTAAATTATTAATTAAATGTTACATAGCATAAACTTATGCACAACTAACTACGTTTGACTCTCAAAGTCCACTTTTTCATGTAACTCGTTAATTTTAATATTGAGAGTCTTTAATTAATTAATCATTTACGTTTTTACTATACGTAATATGTAGAAACGATGCTTTAAATTATAGGAGAAGCATAATGTATATCTATTTACCTCGATGCAGTCTAGTGCTTTAACGCAATCTGAACCTTTTTTGGGATATTCTCCAGGTATTGGCACTCCCTTCACACATTTTCGTATGACGGACTTTGTGTTGCCCCAACCTCCTATTATAATCCAATAGCAAGGATCTCTGTCATAATTTTTGCCGTTGCAAATTATTATGTGTACATCGCGGGATACACGAACCGAAAATGAGACCTTTACATCGGTAGTTAAATCAAAATTTACATCATTATAGGTATCTTGAAGAGTGTTATATTGTTTAAATTCTGAAAATATTAAATGTAAGTTATTTGAAACTATCATAAAAGTATATTTTAATTGTTTGTATTATTATAATGCATTTTATATCACAAATTTTTGTCAAACTGCAAGGCTTTTACCTTCCCATCGTTGATCGAATACCGGACCCATAGGTGTTTTAAAAGAATTTGTAAGACTCCAGTTGTTTTTAGTCCATGACTCCAAGCAATTTTCGTTTGCGTTCATTTTGCAATCTATCTCATTATTTGTGAATTTATTTAAATCCTGAAACTCTGAAATAATGCGCTCGTTTATAATAAATGCATGCATTGCTGATTAATGTAAAAATAATTGAATGTTTTATGACTAAGTCATCTATGTACGTAAGTATTTGATAAGGATTTTAGATTTAACAAGAATTTTAATACACATGTAAAAAAATAATATTATACTTTTAATTGTATTTTGCTTTTTAAGCTGTAAAAATACTTATTTTAATTGTGATTTAATTGTGATTTTAATTGTGAATAAGACTTACTAAAATCGTTTTCTTCTGCATTATAATATTGCCAGATTAAATTGTAGTTCCACACAAGAGCTCCGCCATCATCCTCTGAGAGGCATATCAATTTTACTTTGCTGGGATTGTACGAAAATAACGATCCACGCAATACGGTAACTTTTCCGAAAATATGCAACATCTGACTCGCGAAGATAAAGAACGCGAAGATAATTAGCGCATTCATTGACGCTTTTTTCATTGTTAATGAAAATATGCAGCTCTTCGTAAGACTAACGAGTATCAAAATGGAAGTAGATTAAACAACATAACAAAATAAATATTATATATCTAATTAATTACGTTATTTCATATAGTGTCACTTCAACAAAATTTTCACCGAGTGGGCTCTAATGATACAGTCCTGCCCATCGTGCAATGCACTATACATTTAAATAAAATAATCCGCGTGAACAAATCACTTTCCTTTATTTGAAGACAGTTTGCACTTCAGTCACTACAAGTCAATTTAAATGATGAAATAATAAGAGAATTACATTTTTGTCGAAACATTTTGTATTGTGTTCGTATGCACTGTTTAGTCTGTCGGACGACATGCAATAACTGGTAGAAAGGAACTCGACTTCCTTCTAG